CCCTCCGGGCAGGAGGTGCAGCGTTTTGGCATCGGCAGCGGCCAGGTCGAAATCAAGGTCATCTGAGCTTTGTACTTCTGATGGATCGCATCAGTTCACTTCTCTAGTTCTCTACGTGTTTTTTTTTTTTGGGGGGGGTAGTATTCCAATGTATAGCCATTTAATTTCACTGCTCCTTCCATTTGAAATTCGAAGCTGTTTTTAGTTTTGTCCTTAGTTAAATTAATCGTCTCCAACTTTTTAGTTTTGTCCTTAGTTAAATTAATCGTCTCCAACTTTTTAATAAAGTTTGCAGAAAAAATGCACAAATAGCATATTATTTCGGTATTGCTAGCTCATCAATCTATAATTCTATATGCTACCACACGGGCTAGAGTTCTAGACTCTTATGAGACATAGGTTTTACATATGTTATTCTCTCCATCCCTAATTGATGATAAACATTTTTTTTATCAAGAAAAAAGCATATTAAATAAATTTTGACCGTTAATTTCTCCTACAACACGTTGTCATTTGCAAAAGTAAATATTACCTCAAAGGTATTTTGAACACAAATCTATACGTTGATGTAATTTATGTCCTAAGCTTGTATTAAATTTGACTAATTATTGGTCAAAGTTTGTAAAATTTGGTTTTTTTCCTTTACAAAATGCGCTTTTCATAATGGGACTGGAAGTAATGTTTAATACCTACAAGTAATAAAACTATTTATATCAATTTTCATGTTTTTACACTTTATTCATTTTCTAACACAATAAGCTTAGGATGCTTTGTACTATCTCTCCACCTAGTTGTAATAAACTTATCAATTATTGATCTATATATAATTTTCATCCATATCCATAGTTTTCTCCTTTGCATGGCACCTCCATGAATCTTCAATATGCATGTACTCTAAACCTTAGCTTAGATTCTTCAACATGCATTTACTCTAAACCTTAGCTTAGATTATGGTGACTCTGTTGAGGACCCTCCAATTGCTCGTCACTAGAATCGCACCATCATGCTATCCTCTACGCATCGCTCGGAATCCATTGCATAGAAGAGGCAAACATACATAGCTCGCACAGTTTTTAAATAACATAAAAGGTAGTTAAAGTTGCATCCCAAGTTTGTTAGCACACTGCTCCAGTTCACAGAGTTCAACAGCGAAAGTCTAACAAACAATAGTTCTATTTTAACAAGATACGTTCCTTTGGACCATGTCACATCCACGGGCTACGCCTCTCACATAGGCTCACTGACTTTATTCCTGGCTAGAGTTAGGCCCGGAACTAATATGAGCATTAGTCCTGGTCCAACGGCTAGCGCCGCAGGCGGGCGCAAAAGGGGCCTTTAGTCACGGTTGGTGGCTCCAACCGGGACTAGAGGGTAACCTTTAGTTCTAGACTGATCCACCAACCGGGACTAAATATCCACGCTATATATCCATCTTTCTTCGTCCCCAGCTCGAGCCATCCAGAACAATTATTGAAGCTCTCTATTCTCTTGCTCTCGGGTTGAAGGAGTTCTTGCTCTCGGGCTAGTTGAGAAGAGTTCATTCCTCCATCCATTCTAGGTTCTAAAGGTTAGCAACTTTATTCTCTCATCTTTCGTTGCTAGTGTAACTCATTTCATGGTTTAGAAATAAATAGAGAAATTTGTGCTTTTTTAAATTGGGAATAATGATGGACTTTTTTTACGTAACCCTGAACATTTATAATGATTTCTAGATCTTTGTTGTTATCTTTACCGGTCAGCATTTTTTCAACATTTTACAAAAACCTTAACATTAATTCTTGATGAGAGTTAATAATCGATTAAAATAAATTATGTGACAACACGTAGGGTGCCAACACCAATGTTAAGACACAAATGTTAATATATATATTTTTAATAAAATTTGTTTAAGGCATTAATTATGTTAACACGCATGATTAATGTGAAGACACATTAGTGCATTTAATGAGCTTTAGTGCAAAATGGTTGCAAAATGTTTAAGTTTACTTGGCACATTTTATATATGTTTCTCTAATATATTGCATAATATTTATATGGGGTTCTATATTTATTTGCATATTTTTCAGTTTTATCAGGTATGGTGAATGGCGGACCTCCCCTACCACAGGCACCAGGTTTCCACCTTGGCGATCTGTCATTCGAGCCAAATATGGCCGTTCCACGGTTCCCAGATTCAGCTATAGTATAAAATATTTTCACCATCTAAGTTTTGCATGCTAATATGATTGTTTTATATATACATTCATTCATAATATGATTATTGCATATATCACAGATTATCCTCCCAACCCGTTGGCTGGAATCAGCACTATGGTTGCTCTAGGTGTGGGACATCCATGTTGCCACGACAAGTGAGGTCGTGAATGCTGAAGGTGATCGGTTATGGAGGCATAATATCGCCTTTGACATCCCTATTAGGGGTGTACCAGAGCAGCGCAAAGAAAATCGTGCATATGGGACGTCCGATGCCGAACCGGAGAGGCGCCGAGTTCAATAACATGATACATTGTTTACAGGCACTTGACCACATTGGCTATCAAGTGCCTAATTACTCGTTCTTTGAGATACAAGCTTTACGTGAGCATAATCCTGACGTGGCGCAAGTAAGCGAAAGGATTGCTAGATACAACCAAATGGATGTGGTAAAGTCGTGTATGATATCAGAGTCGTGTTTATTTATTTGTTATTGTTATATGAATGTTCTCTGATTGTTTTTTGGTTTCTCCAATTGCAGATTTTGCTCCATGATTTTACTTATGCTGCATGTGGTTTGCACGCCATTCTAGAGCAAACTATTGAGCAACTGGGGTACGTCTGGGACTATGATGGACACCAGTATACTACACATGGACACTAGTGCTGCCTGAAACTTACTCTGGAGTTGGTCCCCAAAAGTCCGGCAGTAGGTTATATCTATGGGCGACCATGTCCTCGGGTTTGTGAGGCAAGAGAGAGTTAATGTGGACGTTGAATTACATAGACATTGTCTGCGGTTACACAATACAAGACATGCATTACATTGTCCAGAGACGAGCGAGAACGCACTAATGTTTTATTAGGTTTGTAAGGTTTATGTTTAGGTTCGTATGGGTTATGTTTAAATAGGTTTGTACGGCTTATGTTTATTTGTCATGTAATTCATGTATCGATTATAATTTATACCCTAACTAGAACACCTAAGTTTATGTTTAATTTGGTTTGTATGTTTCGGATTTTTCAGAGATGGTTTGCTATTTTTTATGGTCTAAATGAATTTCTGTGTGACGGTACAAAGTAATTAATTAGAGGTTGAATTAAGTTTATCCTAGAAATTTTCATGCCATTTAGACAGAGCCCGGAATATATCAAAATTCATATCACTAAATTCAATATATCAAAATTCATATAACTAAATTTAATATATCAAAATTCATATATACAATATATCAAAATTCATATCACTAAATTCAATATATCAAAATTCATATATACAATATATTAAAATTCATATCACTAAAGTCCAATGGCTAGCTAGCAAACTGGCCGAGCAGGGACCTGCGAAACGTAAGATGGCAGCTACTGGTAAGCTGGGTGGTGGGGAAGTGGTTCCTGCGAAACGTAAGATGGCAGCTACTGGTGAGTACGGCAAGGGCGGCAAGGATCCAATGTTGGCGGCAGAGATGGCTACTGCAGCTATGGAGGAGCACCTTTTCGCTTAATCGTTTCTATAGCTTATAAGCTGGCTGATGTTGTTTTGTTGTGAGAGAAAAACACTATATCATAAGATCAAGCGAACATGGTGGAGGTTCGGAAGGTCCCAAAGCGTGCGAGTTCTCAGCATGGAAAAATATGGACTTCAACAAAGGTAATTTCCAGGTCGACGTTCTGGATCCAACAGTGGTCCATGCTATATAGAGAGAAGGAGCGTCCATTGTTTAAGATGGGCTGCAGAAGCTAGGAGACCTTAATATTGGCAGTATTTGCGAAGTTTGGATGGAGTTTTAGGATTCGAATCGCGGTTTAGTTTTTTTCCTTGTTTGCTACGCACGTTGAACTTTGTTTTTTCGCTGATGTGCGAGCCTTATGGCTTTGGTTTGTATTCTAGCAATCAGCGGTATACCATCTGCGGATGGTAGAGGCTAGAATTTGGTTTCATTATGTGAAAAAAGATACAATGTATATCTAAACGCATATCACATATTTGTTACATTAGGATAGTTCTCAAAGTAGTGGTTAAAACGAAAGCTAATGCTTAAACCATGCCAAAACAAGAGATATAGATGGATCCAAAGACCTGCACAAACCAAAGCACACTAGAAATCTAATTAAGTCCGGACCATGGGCAAAGCTAGATCTTCTGTGTAACAAAATAAAGGTGAATATAAAGTACTCAACAAATGCAACCCTACCCTATGGAGTAGATGAAGACATGCATATGGATAATGCAACCCTACCCTATGGAGTAGATGAAGACATGCATATGGATAATTTGCATAAAACTATCTTTTGACACATGTAATGTTTTGGTTTTGTAAATATTTTTGCAAAAGACATTTATTTTCTATATATATGAGTATTTTCTGAAAAAAGCGGTTTGTGAGTTTGTCATATTTTAAATGCTATTGAACACTTTGTTCTCACAAAATATAGCACACCACCATTTCTTTCAGAAATCACACTCGTATTTCTACACTCATCCCAATCCGACTAGTTGTTGATACCAAACCATAATTTGTCTGAGACCACGAACATGGCTATTGAGATAAATTTTACGCTCTGCAACCGTAACTTAACACTTTTTTAAAAAACAGACAAAGACCCCCCCTACCGAGGGTTGCTAGCTGATGGGGCAACAGAGCAAAAATGGGTCTCGCATCTAAAATTCATGAAAAACAACACGAATGCTGCGCTTATATACTGTAATGAATAATGACGACTTGTGTGATACATATTCAGATCATCGCTCACAACTCCAGGTCTTTGACAGTTCCACACACTCCAGGTCCAGGAGCACATCATCATCATCGGAACAACTCTGGAAAGGACCACATGATGAACCTGGCATAGATGTCATTCTCCAAGAACTCTATGTGTGCAGCTCTGCCGATCATGGTGTTCAGGTTCCGCCCTTGGGCGGACTGGTCGAATATAACGTCACAACGCATGAATACCCGTGTTTCCGATGTTGGTGCCCGGATCTCGTCCAAGCAGTTGTTCAGCATCTCAGTGAACACCTGCCCACGTTTTGAGTTATCTGACGACGAGGCGTGGCAGAGGTCGATTCTTGCTGAATGATATGGGACATAACCATCCTAGCAAGTAGAATGATGGCAGTTTCAAGTAAAGTGGTGATGTCCAAATTTAAGCCTGGGGAAAGAAACAATGTTGGACATACGTATGCAGTACCTGCGGTGATGATACCAGGATGATGTTCTTGAAGTTCTCCAGAGTCTTCAGCTGTTAAAATTTGAAAAATGAAAGACAAATACATGCGACAAGTTTGACTAGATTCAACAGTAGTTCAGTTTTAAAAACTTAATATAATGTATACCTTGCAGAGCTTGTAAAAGAATGTATTCTGTGGGTCGTGGTCATCACTGAAAGTGAGCTGATGCATGCACTGCATTCCCTTGAGCCGTTTCATGAGCCAGAGGCCAGAATTGAACAAGGAATTTGGGCTGTACCAGTAACCTAAATGAGGCCCCGATATGGACATGTATGTATATAGGTTCTTCAGAAATGGCTCCAATTTGGGTTCTTTTGAAACAGAAAGATAAGATTAGTCATCACATTCACACAACTGATAGGAAGGGGAAAATTCTGAAGTCCAATTTGAAAATACCTGTGAGGGCACTTCTGAGGATAATGTTCCCAATAGAATGACCGACAAAACTGAGCTTAATCTCTTTGCAACCTCCATTTTTGGAATACTTGTCCACCTTTCTTTTGAGGAATGACACTACTTCATTAGCGAGCCTTCTACCCATTTCTTTAAAATCTCCAGACGTTCTATCCTCATTTATCTGAGACAGTAGGCACTCAGCTCCAGGATCAAGCAAAAGCCACTGGTTTTTAACAAGGCGTAAATCCAAATGATGTCCCTGTTTATTTTTGGGATCAGCAGAAGTTTCAACTAAATATGTTGCAGATATATGTGATGAGGCTGAAACAATTATTACAGTCCCAAGAAACTTACCTGAAATCCATGCACAAAAATGACAGCTCGTAAAATGTGGCCACTCTTGAAACCACAAGTTTTTTCCTCCAATGATTGTCCTTGTAGTAGAGGTGGCACATTAGTACCCGCGGGTTCTGAACCATCTGTTAGAAAATCCTTGCTAGAACAATGTTGCGGAATAACCATTACATGCTGCTCTATGCGGACAACAGGTATACATGAAGGATCAGCATAAATATGCATATCTTGAACAGACGGCGTGTTAATCTGCAGTATGTTTTCCATTAGTATCCCTTTTTTCTTGAAAAGCACCATAAGTGTAGAACTTGAATAGTATTCCTGAATTGAACAAAGACCAACCTTCATTTGTGCTATACTTTTCCTGTGCAGTTCAGCCTGTGACATCGAATTTTGTATAGGCTACAATACATGGAACCATCAAATATATAGCAACAAGAAAATACGTTAGGTCAATAATGCAATTTCTCATATAAATTAAGAGTGATCTATGGTAAACATTCAAGAGAAGGTAATTTACATCATGATGGACCTTTCGTGAACTGGAAATCCGAATCAAATGGCGAGGAGAGTCATCATTCATGCTTCTCAAATAGCGATGTGGAATCTCAATCTTTGAATGAATAATCCATATTGACCATTCTGCTTTCCGATCAATATCCCACATATCATGCAAATAATCCAATATCTTGACTTTATGTGTTCTGCATTGGACCAACAAAAAATTGGTGCAATATTATGAAAGAGTCATTATAAGTTTACAACTAAGAAACCCTATGACTAAGGAACATCTGATCAATGGATACACCCATCTTCTAAAACGAAATGCATAAGATAACACACCTGTGAAATTTCAAGAACTCATTCCATATAAATGAGAGTTGTCTGCTCACAATTTGAAATAGTTCAAACAATTCCTCCTCGGATAGAGTATACAGCAAGATATCATCAGTGCTTCCAACCACAACACCAGAACTCTGAAACAAGTTGTGAGATGCATCAATTAATACAGATATTCTAATAGAAAACCTTTTTCAGGAAAAGTGAAGTGTACCTCAAGAAAATCACGTAAGACAGTCATCTGGGGACTACACTTTGTGGGTGTACCTTGCCCATTATTGTAACTGGGCGAACCTGACTTTGATTGTTGAATTGTCTCATATTTACCAAGGGTTAAATCAGTGTGATCTAAATCCTCAAGAGTGTTACCAATAGCATTACTGATCTTCTTCACTTCTTCAAGAAGTATTTCCCTAGAAATTAGTGATGCCTTCACAATATCATATGACTTTGAGCCAAAACTTTGTTCCAGCGGCTGCATGTTACATAGCAACTTTTATTCATAAAATTAAGAATGCAATTTATTCACTTCTATTACTAAATGTCTATCGGCTATTGGCATGGCATAAACATATGATCTGCAGTAAATATGCATATCACTGAAGGTACACATATTCACTTCTATTTTTAAGTAATATGTGTATTTGTGACATATTGATTACAAGCATATACATGTGGTTTATTTTATAGCAACATCACAAAAGCATTGTAGTGGAAAAAGTATCTAATAAAAAATTAATATAAAGAATCACAAACCTGCATACCTTCAGTGATGATGATTTAGTCACAGCGGCTTTCAGGTACACTATGTGTATTGTCAGATCCACAAGTGCCGAGTGTAAAGCGTCAAAATGGACAGGGCAATATGAGTGTAAGCCCAGGAGTGCTCTATGTGGGATCCTAAATTCATGGACAGGGATCAAATCTGTATCATCATTTGAATCTTGAACTTCAGTCCTACGATGCAAAAGGAAGCAGCTCATCAGAGTTGATGAATGCGGACTGTAAAATTTTGGGTGCACATGTAATTTAACACAATAACATACACACCACCCATTCCCCAGTGTTGGGATATATATGAGCTCGAACTTCAATATAACAGAAGAAGTTGCTGGACCCTAGAATGGAGAGAGAGTACAGATCAGGCTAAAGTAAACAAGGTTCATTAACAGAAGTAAAATTTATAATACTCAACCTCGTCTTCGCTGTTGGGTATGTAGAAGGACACCATAACTGATAGATAAATATCTTGCCTAGAATATTTAACAAGAAATGGCTGTGTATAGAAGCTATTGTCAACATCGTCTATTTTCCAAAAGCCAAATGAGCTCTTCACACCAATATCAATAGCTGCATAATCCACCTAGCATGTCATTATCTATTAGCCAAAGATTTGAATTCAAAAGTCATATGGTTAAGAAATATAGGAAATGTCAAAAAAAAAATCTGACACTTCATTCTGTTCCTGGTCGTTCTAGATTTAGTTATTTTTTTTCTCGAACGCGCAAGAGAACTGCGCATCAATATATTAAGAAGAAAAAGGAGGGGGAAAAGAGCCCCAAAAAACTATTACAAAAACACAGAAACAAAAAACTGTTACAGAGAAAAGGGTCTGCAACCCACCCTAAGAACCCAAACTATGTTATGTCTCTAGAGAACTATAAGGCAGGACCAAAAACCACGGACCCAAAAAGAGCTAGGAGGTAGGAGCCGGGCAAGGAGATAAGAAACTCCTCGAGCCCCTGCTGCTGCCCACTTTGAGCTCTTCCTTAAAAGCTGAGAGGACCCTAGCTAGGCTAGGAGTTCCACCATCAAAAACACAATGGTTTCGATGCTTCCAAATTAACCAAGCTCCCAAAATAATAATGGAATTGAACCCCTTCTTCACTTGACCAGAAAGCTCGCTGCAAGCACCCTCCCACCAGTCCACAAAAATCAAATCAACCATTTGTGGAGCCACATCTTGCAGTCCAAAAGATTGCGTAGAATGTTGTACCATGTTTGCAGGCGAAGACACAAGAGATCGAGAAGATGGTCTATTGTTTCACCACCTAATCACGAGTGGACAACTGCGTTGGGTGATCAAGACCTCGGCGTGCTAGTCTGTCATCACCGTCCAACATCTATTGTGAGCTACTGTCCACATGAAGAACTTGCACTTCCACAGGGCCCAGCTCTTCCCAGATCAACTCCCAAGGACTGAAATGAGTAGCTCCAATGAACAAGGCCTCATAAGCTGATTTATTAGAATACATACCGGAAGCTGAAAGTTTCCAGATATGTGTATCTTCCACCTCGTGGATGCAGTACCACATTTGACAAAAGCCCCCAAAGGTGAAGGTATTCAATCGAACAGGCACACTTAAAGCACCTCTTATATCGAAACCCATTTTCCCCGTGATAGCATCGTGGCTGATCTTTTCCTTGCTCTGGTTGCTATAGCGCTAAACAAATGTGGCATGGCCTGTTCTAAGCTCGACCAAGCAACCATCTATCTGTCCAAAAACGAGTATTTTTCCATTGCCTACTACTGTGTCAACAGCCATAGCAAAGAATGCTTGGACTTGAGAATGAGCTTGGATGGGGAAAAAACCCGAGCTTTGTCGGGGTTACTTTTACGCAGCCATAACCATCGGAGTTTTAAAGCCCATCCCAAGTTTTGATGATTAGAAATACCAAGACCTCCCAGTTAAGAGATCTAGTGACCTTTGGCCAGGCTAGCAAACAATTGCCCCCTGACATCTCTTCTTCCTTTCCATAGGAAACCCCTTCTTATCTTATCAATTGCCTTCAAAGCCCATGAGGGTAGATCAAGTGCCATGATGATGTAGATCAACATTGAGGTGAGAACAAACTGAACCAAGACCACTCTTCCACTTTTTCAGTAAGCAAATCAGCTTTCCAGCTTGGTAGTCGATCTGCAATTTTCTCGATGATGGGCTGAACCTGTTCTTTGGATAGCTTATGAGGAGAAAGGGGACCCCTAGGTATTTACAAGGGAAGTCGGAAAGTGACAAGGTAGGGTTTCCTGCAGGACTGCTCTGTCATCCACATTACACCTTATAGGGAGAACACTACTTTTCTGAAGGTTTGTTGTAAGGCGGATCGTTTCCAAAAAGTTGCAAGATATCCAAGGTTATTTCAATGTCACTGGTTGTTGGACTCAAGAAGAACACCACATCATCTGCATACAAGGAAATCCTATGCTCCAATGCCCTTCCGGCAAGTGGCTGCAACAAATTCTCATCTACAGCTTTCTTCACCAAGTAGTATAGCACATCCATGACCAAAATGAAAAGCATCGGTGACAATGGATCCCCTTGTCTTAGACCACGCTGGTGTTGTATCCTTTCCCTAGAACCATTCAATAGCACTTGAGTGGATGAAGTGGCAAGCAAGCCGCTGATAATATCCCACCAAACTGGTCCAACACCCAAACGTCTCATAACTTCTAATAGAAAAGGACATGACACCGAATCAAACGCCTTTATTGATATCCAATTTTAAGAGGATACGAGCTTGTTTCTGTTGGTGCAAGAATTTTGTAGTATGGTGAACCAACATGAAGTTGTCTAGAATGAAACGACCCTTGATGAATGCACTTTGATTAGTGGAGACCAAGTGATTCAGAGAAGCAGCAAGCCTGTTAGCTAGGATTTTTGTTATGAGCTTGGCAAAAGAGTGCACCAAGCTGATAGGTCTGTACTCCTTGATGCTTATAGCGTCCTCTTTCTTTGGCAGCAGGGTGATGAAGGCTGAATTGAGTAACTCAAAATTAGCAAACTTTCTGCTCCAAACAGCTGAAATAGCAGCCATTATATCCAATTTGATGATCGGCCAGCAAACCTTATAGAACTTTCCTGTGAAGCCGTCAGGGCCAGGGGCCTTGTCTGACGGTAGGGAATTGATTGTTTTCCAGACCTCCTCAACAGAAAAAGGAGCTTCCAATTCACTAAGATCAAGGTTTGGCATGTCTAGTTCTGTCAAGTTAACTGTCACTTCCCTGTCAATGCTCCTTCCCAGTTATACTACCAAGGATTAACGAGATCATAATGATAAACCACTGCAACAGGATTAGCACATATTTGTTGTTTTAGTATTGTATTCTATTGTCTAACAATAATGAGGTAACACAAGTGCGCAACACATAGTTTTCCATGTTGATGTCCTAAGAAATTTTCACTTTTCATCTACACTTTGACATAAATACAAGTAAAAATAATCACACAATCATCATTCCCTTGAGAAACTTCTGATTATAGTATGTCAAGAGTAGGTATGATTTACTCTACTTAACAATATAATTAGTTCAGGAGTAGGTATGATTGAGTCAGAAACTACAGTTCAACAAGCACGGTATTTCAACCTCAACTTTTTTTTTCTTTCAAGATTGATTTGCTTAATGCATAGTACTTTTCATAGTGAAGCAGTGAATTTTCTTTGCCTTTCTTGAAACAAGCAAAAAAAAACTGCACAACATTGTATTATTAGGAATGAAGATCAGAACTGGTCCAAATAGATTAAAAAACAAAATGAAGTAGAGAATTTTGTAATGGATTAAGTCCATTTTTGGCCCCTCAACTATTGTGTTGGTCTAATTTTAACCCTCAACTACAAAACCGTCTAGTATCGATACCCCAACTGTCAAAACCGTTCACTTTTAGCACCTGGGCGCGGGTTTTGACCGACGTTAAGCGGTTTGGACCACGCCTCCCTCTCCATGCTGCATAGCCTGACAAACCGATGTTGGGGCCTCTATTCTTTCCTGCCAGTTGCTCGAAACCAGGAAGTGCCTAAATAAAGGTTGTAGTTCTAAATGCAAGCTTGGGGCTAGTAACTTGAATGGGCCAGAGTGCCACAGTGAAATCTAAGAAACACGCACGCCAAAAATCGTGCAGCACTCTGTTTCGGCCGGTGTCCGCGGTCACCGCGTCTGGTCGTCGAGGGCCGAGCACCTGCTCGCCCTGCACCATGCTGCCTCGCCGCGCTGTCATAGCAGTTCGCCTGGCCGACCCGCTGTTGCGCCCGTGCCGTGGCTGAGCCGCTCTAGCCTCGCCCTGCCATCGCCGCTTCTCCGGTCGCTGCCCTGGCCAGTCCTGCTGATCTGTTGTGCCCGCGTTGCCCCTCGTCTAAGTTCTAACTATGTTTGATTGACACCTTTGCTTTGCTGCATCGTCATCTAACGAACAGTTGCTGCTGCAGGGCGATCTGGGAGCCCTGAAGCACGACGCGGTGCTGGAGCAGTACAAGGCGAAGGCGGAGCACTACCTGTGCGCGTGCCTGGGCCGGAACGGCGGCAATGGCAGTGACAACGTGGAGCAGAGCCCCGGCAGGATGTTGTACGTGCGGCAGTAGAACAACCTCCAGTACATCTCCAGCGCCGCCTTCCCCCTCACCGCCTACTCCCGCTACCTCTCCGACGCCGACATCTCCTCCGCCGGCGGCCGCGGCGAGGGCCTCCTCAGCTGCTCCGCGGGCGCCCATGCCACGCCGTCCGACCTGCTGGCGCTGGCGGCTCGCAGGCGGACTACATCCTGGGCCGCAACCCGCTGCGGCTCCATGCAATGCTTAGGCTGCTGCTGCGAATAAGCTTTGAATGAAAATGGCAGAAGAGAGACAGCAGCTAGCAATCAATGAACTGCTTGCAAAATTTCGATCCAGCTCGATAATTCCAATCGAACAGGCGAACCTATCGATCCACGACTATCTTCATTTATTCAGCATAGGGCTGGCTGCTGTCGATGGGCGAGCGAGGCGGAGGCGACGGTCGACGGGCCACATGCATGGTGGAGTCTTTCGGGGGTAATGCTACCTCTGACTACTCCCAAGTCCTATCCTATCCGCCCTCGTGACCGGCAGGGGTAGCGCGGGCGCAACAGGTCAGCAGGACCGGCAGGGCCGCGATCGGAGAAGCGGCGACGGCAGGGTGAGGCTAGAGCAGCTTAGCCACGGCACGGGCGCGACAACGGGTCGGCCAAGCGAACTGCTATGACAGTGCGGCGAGGCAGCACAGTGCAGGGCGAGCAGGCACTCGGCCCTCGACGACCGGACACAGTGACCACAGACACCAGCTGAAACAGAGAGCTACATGATTTTTGGCGTGCGTGTTTCTTAGATTTCACTGTGGCACTCTGGCCCGTTCAAGTTACTAGCCCCAAGCTTGCACTTAGAACTACAACCTTAATTCAGGCACTTCCCCGTTTTGAGCAACTGGCAGGGAAGAACAGAGGCCCCAACATCGGTTTGTCAGGTTGTGCAGCGTGGAGAGGGAGGCGTGGTCAAAACCGCTCAATGTCGGTCAAAACAGTCTTGCCCCTGCCCAGGTGCTAAAAGTGAACGGTTTTGACAGTTGGGGTACCGGTACACTAGACGGTTTTGTCGTTGAGGGTTAAAATTAGACCAATACAATAGTTGAGGGACCAAAAGTGAACTTATCCTTTTGTATTTGAGGAAAGCTCATCGTGAAGTTGGCAAGAAATTTGACCGTTCATCTTTCACTCTAACCTTCAAATCATGCAAGAAATATCCCACAGAAACCCATGCAATAAATATAATTGTGAGTTTTAGAGTACCCTAAATGTTGATCAATATTAATATACAAGAATCATTTAATTTACTTAACGATATAAGTACAGGCATGTGAAATTGTTCTTCATAATACTTCAACAATCATTTTCCCCTACTTCAGAAGGAACTACCCCATGCTTCCCTCATAATCAGCTAGCGCTCTATATCTTTCATAATGAAGCAGTGGTTCATGTTTTTTCTTTTCTTTTTGTTGTCGATGAACAAGAGGTGAAAATTGCATGTCATCGCATTAAGATAGGAACATGTTCAAATAGAGTACAACACAAAAAAAAATCAATTGCATGTTAAATCATGCCGAGAAATATTTCACGCATAGCAAATATTTCTCTGCATCAAGAAAGGTGAATTCGCACCTTCGTATTGCGTGACCCTGGCCGGCGAGATCGGTGCTCTATTATTCTCGTCGTCCTCCCATTGGGCACTAATCTTCATGCGGTACCATCTGCAAGCAAACAAAAAAAATCAAGGCCGAAAGGGAAGAATTGAATTTCAATGCGTTGCAAACAATGCAAAAAAAAAAACAAGGAAATTGGACGCCAAATTTGTTCTCCAAATTAACAAACAACCCATCAAGGAGAGCCGAAAGAATGCATTGCCATTTAAAAAAAATATGAGAAAGTGAACATGTTCTTGAAAGGAAAAGGAGAGGGTTGGGACAGGAAATTTTCCCCCGAATCCTTGTTACCCTTGCTGGAACAGGTCCAGATTGTGGAAGCGGTCGATGTAAATGGCGACCTCGTGCGCCGTCTCCATGACAACCGACCGACGCCCGTGCAAGAATCGCCACACGGCGGCGATGCGACGCCGGCGAGACCGCCCACCCCTCCTCCCGCTCCCGTACGCCTTGTGAGGCCACCCTTAAACAACCTCCTTTCTTCCTGGCCCCTTGTTGTTGGGTGTCCGACAACTTTTTCTAAGCCAACCAATAATCGGACTGATTAGTGGGCCTACAGGCCACAGCAGGTCGCATCTGCAGGCCCATTCGCGAGTTTTTTTTTCCTGAATTACAGTTATAACACTACAACTCTAACTATTTTCGAAGGCAGGTATTTTGGGTTCCATGAGGCGAGTAGGCTGTCCACCTCAAACTAAAGGTCACTATTAATCATTATTTACGAAACCGTGAACTCACATGTCAACACTAACACCTCCTTACCACAACATCACTCAAATCACTTGTGAGAAAATATTGACTAAAGGTCAGCCTTAATTCTTATTTACGAAGCCCACGAACTCACATGTCAATACTAACACCTCCTTACCACAACATCACTCAATCACTTGTAAGAAAATATTGAATTATATCTATTTTACAAATATTTTCAATCTTGTATTAAATAATTTGACTACTAAATGAACTAAATAAAAGAAGATTCAACTACAAAGTTTCTTGTCAAGCACTACAATTTTAGTATAGGATGTGTCTTGATCCGAGATTGTTTGAAAATTTAAAAAAAAAACTAAATCCCAAAATGTGCGAGTTTAAAACAATATTTGAGATATAAAAAACTTCATCAAAATAGAACTTATCAATAAAAAAACATAGATCAGGTCGGCTACTACAACTTTGCTATTAACTGCATAAATGTTCAAGGTCGATAATTTAGAAATTCTAAATTTTGAATTTCAAATTCTATGAACTCAGAACACATATTTGTGACTCTAAATGACTTCAAAACAAAAAATTTCAACTACAAAGTTGTAGATTGTATTGAAAACTATGACTTTGGTGTAGACAATATCAATATCCGTGGTTGTTTATGGGGGGCTTTTCCCCCACTGACCCCTCAAAAAATATCCGAGGTTGTTTGAAAATTTTAAATTTTAAAATAAACTTAAAACAATAATTTGGGACTCTATACTGTTTTAAATTAAAAACTTTTCAACTATAAAGTTATAGATCGCGTCGTGGGTTACAATTTTTATATGAAGTTTGTCTTCATCTGTGTTTATATAGAAAAATATGAGTTGTTTTTGGTTGAAACTATTTATAAATGGCCATCTTTGGAAATCGGTTTTTAGGGATGGACTTTTAGAATGGGGTAAAGTATAATTTACAACCTTTAACAACCTTTTCAACTCTCGAACTTTAAAAAGTCACTTTGGCCTCAACCTCGAACTTTTGAAACCGGATAACTTTGGCCCTCGAACTCTTGAAACCATTCACTTTTCAACCACTAGGGCGGTTTAGAGAGCTACAACTTTAGCGAGATAATGATAACTTTTGATATTTTTAATGAAGAAGCGTCGAAATTTTATATTTTTATATTTGTTTGAGCATCTTATGTCCTCAAATGAAAAAAAAAAATTTACAAAGTTGTAGATCTCATTGAGAGCTACAACTTTGTTTTGTCGCGTGACAAGACTCAAATTTCAAAAATAGAAAACTTCAATATACATGAAGATAATATATGTAAATGCTCTACAACTATAGTTTTAATTTTTTTTTGGGAGGACAAGAAGATGCTCGGAAAAATAATATAAAATTTCAGCACCATAATAATCGCTTACTAGCGCTTTTGCCGCATTAGAGCACTAATATATTATTTGTATGGAGTTAAATGAAAATATTTTTTAAAACTACCAAAGTTGTAGCTCTCTCAATGAGATCTATAACTTTGTAGTTTTGAGTTTTTTCATTTGAGTACGTTAAGATGCTCAAAAATAATATAATTTGAATTTTGACGCCTCCCAGTATTGTTATATCAAAAATACTGTTCATATGCCAAAACCACCCGAAACCGGCCCAGGGTTGAAAAGTGAACGGTTTCAAAAGTTTGAGGGCCAAAGTTATCCGGTTTTGGAGTTCGATGTTGAAATCCGGACTTTAGCGAAAGTTGAAGGTTGTAAATTGGACTTTACCCTTTAGAATGTCCCCTTCCTCCATTAATAGCGATTTTAAGAGAGACATCTATAAAAACTGATTTATAGAGACGGATATCCTAAGATGACTGTCTCTGTTAATCGATCATTTTCAGAGACGGACGCCTTGAGATGCCTGCCCTTGTAAATGATTTTAAGAGGCGGCCATATTCCTGGAGGCCGCCTAGCCTTTTACAGAGACGGCCCTAAATATGCCTATGTCCATTAATCGGAGAGGTTATCTTTTAAAATCATTTTTATAGTAGTGTAATTTGAGGGGACATAATTTCTAAGCCAAGATTTGAGGAATTTTTTTTATTTTTAACCTTTTTAAAACAATTTTTAAAATTAACACCGTGGCTTTTTTATTTTCCAATCTAACCTATTTAGTCGCGCCTAAGTTCCTGATGCGGCCAAAACACGCTGTCACGCCACATGCATCGGCGTGGCACGATTTCCCACAGTGGGCGACCATTTCCAGCAGGAAATCCTTGTCGTGCCACTCCTATTGGCACTGCAGCACTGTAGCACCACGCCAACTAGACTAGCACAGCAAGGCGTAACCTTAGAAAAATCGTATTTTTTTCATACGACCGATGAAGATAATTTTTATATAAAAATTGTAGCCCTCGTTTGGATTTATTTAATTTGACGTCGTTAAAATGCACACAAAAAATAAACAAAGTTTTAGCAGCATATTAATTGTGTACAAGCGCTTGCCGCCTTGAAAAACGCATATCTTTCTTATATGGTGTCAAATGAAGATACTTTGTACATCAAACTTGTAGCTCTCGGTGGAATCTACAACTTTATAGTTTCAAGTTTTCTATTTGATATAACTAAGATGCTCAAAAAAATAATATAAAGTTTAAGCATCATATTAATCACGTACAAGCTCTTGTGGCCTTAGAAAAATCATATCATTTTTGTACACCGCCAAATGAAGATACTTATATAAAAATTGTACCTCTTCACGAGATCTATAACTTTGTAATTTTGAGTTATTTTATTTGAGGTCATTATCTTAGGCACGTGACGTGACATATTACTAATGGAAGGTTGACTCAGGAGTTTAGGTGCTACCAAGAAACAGATAAAGATGATTGGTTTGTTAGGCTGATGGTACGGCAGTGCTCATGGAAAAGAACTTTCCACCAACCGTGCGCAATGATGATGTCTACTGTTGCATAACTTTAACCTTTTATGCGAAGCAAAGATGAAAGTGTAAGTGAGATAGTAATAGTACGTGTGTGGTTCACTAAGCTGTCTACCATCGCCATTGCGCACAGTTGGTGGTACAGTTCTTTTCCATGAGCACCGCCTACCATCGGTCTAACAAACCAATCATCTTCATTTGTTTCTTGGTAACACCTGAACTCTCGATCCGACTCTCAATTACTAATCAGTCACGTCACGCGCCCAAGATAAAGACATCAAATGAAAAAAACTTAAAACTTTAAAGTTGTAGATCTCATCACGACCTACAACTTTTATATAAAAAAGTATCTTCATTTGGCACCATACAAAAAAGATATGATTTTTCTAATGAGGCAAGAGCTTGTGTGATTAATATGCTGCTGAAACTTTATATTATTTTTTTTAGCATCTTAATGACCTCAAGTGAAAATAACTCAAAACTAGAAAGTTATAAATCCCATCCGAGCTACAACTTTCATATAGAAAATATCTCTATTTGACACCATTTAAGAAAGATACGATTCTTCTAAGGCGACAATCACTTTTACGTGAATAATATACTGCTGAAATTTTATTTAATTTTTTTAGCATCTTAGGGCAGTCCCAATGAAAGAAATTAGTAGTTTCTATAACATAAGATACCGCACCAAAAAAGTACTGCTTTCCAACCCATGATTTCTATGAGTAATAATTATTTTCTCTTTCTCTCTCCCAACTCTATCTTCTTCCTCCAATGGGAGTGCGACACGAGCTCCCTAGAAACTGGTGGTTTCTCCCCAATGGCGATTTCATGGTTTCTTGGTGCATTGGGTCAAGAGTAGACCTGATTTCTTCATGAGAAAACAATTTCTATGATTTTTGCTCTTTTTCTTCATTAATTACGTTGCCATGTCAGCGTTTTGCCTACGTGGCAAGTCATTTAATGAGGATAGAAACCATCATCAATACACCATTGGGACTGCCCTTAAAGACCTCAAATTAAACAAACTCAAAACTAGAAAATTGTAGATCTCGTTGAGAGCTACAATTTTCATATAAAAATCATCTTCATCCAAGATCATATGAAAAAGACATAATTTTTTTAAAGTTGCAACTTGACACACTCGTCTGGTTGGCGCTGCATTACAGCGCTGCCATGCTAACGGGAGTGGTGCGGCAATGTTTTTCATATGAAAATTGCTGTCCACCATGGTGGATTGTGCATTGCCGATGCGTATGGCGCGGCATTGTGTTTTAGCCGCACTAGGGACTTAGGCTATTCGAAAATAAAAGCAACAGTGTTAATTTTAAAAATAGTTTTTAAAAAAGGTTAAAAATAAAAAAAATCTTGATGGCCGCCTCAGGATCTATGATTTTTTTTGAAAACTCAGGATCTATTATTTTGGCTGGAGCCGGATGGGTTGAGTCGGGTGGAACATGAGGATAAGACCAGCCTAATTATTCTTGTGTGCAAATATAACTCGGGGGTATTTGGTCAATCTACCTTGGCCCATATGGCCCCATGCCGTTGTAACGCCAAAAGCAAAACGGAAGTTTGAAATTTTCTTTCGTTTTGGAGTTCCAGGAGAGATAAAATAAGACTTCGAATATCGGTAATGCTAAGGAGCGGGCGTCAGACACCACTTTCTGGGCATGCGCGTTACTGGCCCAATAGACCTGCTTTCTCTCCATGTCTTTTCATCTCTCTTAAAAATACCTCCCACTCCCGTGCTCACCCATCGCGTGCTGCTGCGCCGTGCGCTTGCTGCTGCCATCTTCCTCGCCGCGCACCCCATCCCGCACCGCATGGCTCCCCCATCTAGCGCGCGCTCCATCCCACGCCGTGCCTCCTCCATCGTTGTGTCGCGCTACATCCCTCGTTGTGTCCGCTCCAGCTTGCTACGCAACGTCCCCCTCACCCACACGTGCCGAGGTGCTACTGGGGGTGCTGCCAAGGTGTTGTCGATGCTGCCGTTCCACCAGAAGGTCGTGGTTGTCGCGACGCGCTGCTACAGCAAGGAGATGTTGTGATAAAAACATATGTTGCAAGCGTATGTTTCAAGTGTTTCAGACATTTTAGAGGTGTGTTGCAATTGTTTGATGTGGATGTTGCAAAAATAGATCGGGAATGTTGCACATGTTGTATATGTTGCAAGTGTCTCAAAGGCATATTGCAAGTGTTTTAGAGGCTTGTTCAAAATGTTTCATCTGTTCAAGACATATGTTGCAAGCGTTCTGATCTAAATGTTGCACATATTTCACACATATGTTGCAACAATATGTTCCAGTTAGTGTTTTTATGTTACAAGTTGCAAGTGTTTTATCCGTATGTTGCATATGTTTCACACAAATGTTGCAAGTGTATGTTCCAGATGTTTCACCTGTTTCATATGTATGTTGCATTCAAGTATTTCATGTTGCACGTGTTTCATGTTGTTCGGAGAGTCAGGGGCACGGGGAGTGATGGTGGCACGACACGTGCGTTGGGTAATGGGGCGTGGTGACCTAGGTGCCGGCAGAAGGGGCGCGCGACGCGCCGGTGTCCTACGAACAGGGCTTGCTTGAGGTCGACGATCAAGGCATGACTAGGGTTGGGTGCGCATGCGGGGTGGGCGAACGGCCTCGAATTGATGCAGACAAGGCGGGTTGTGAGTGGGACGCAAGTCATTCGGATGTGCGGGCGTTGCGATGGGGTAGGGTGTGCGCGCGGGGGAGAAAAAAATAGCGAACTGAGTGAAAGCATCTAGGCCCCTAGTTGGGTTTCGGTGATTAATGACGACACGAGATTACTATGACTAACGTGTGTTTTGTAGAGGTAATTTGAGTTAGGTCATGATAATGGCAATTGATTGAGCAATCATGGTTGTCATGCCCCTGTCGATGAAAATCGTTTTGATTTTCAAAGGATGGACGACAAGGTTAAGGACAGACTAGTTCTAAGTGTCGTTTGGTGTTGAAGAGACACTTAAAGTAGTTTAGGATCTTGTTTTTCCTTTGGCCATACTATTAAGGGGGGTATGGACTATTAGCTTGACCTAGGTGAGTCTAGTGGGTTAGGTGTGGTGCACACTTGTCAAACCTAGCACTAGGCAGCTCAGGAGTAGCCCTAAGATCAATTGGAGTAAACTTCATTCACATAGGATTTCGAGTTGGGAAGTGAATGGAGGGTCAAATGACTGACCGGACGCTGGTCTGGTTGTGATCGGACACTGAATGGTAAGTTCGGTCAGTTCATTTGATCAACTGGAGTCGTCTGGTTGTGACCGGATGCTGAGTGAAAGTGGACCGGACGCTGGGGTCCTGCGTTCGATCAACTCCAGAGAGGTTCTAGAGAGGGATTTTTCTGATCGGACGCGTCTGGTCAGTGCTAACCGAACGCTGGTAAGGATCCGACAACTGACTGGACGCTGAATAGTGAAGTGATCGGACTCTGGGTGTCAGCGTCCGGTCAACATCAGTAAGCTTCCAGAGAGCGTTTTTCATGACCGAACACGTCCGGTCAGTGCTGACCGGACACTGGTCAGAGTCCGGTCAGAGCATAACGGCTCTTTGCGAGTATAATTGACCGGAGCGTCCGTTCACCTCGTAGAATGCTGACTCAGCCTCCAAATGTTATGTTTTGAATAAGGGGGTATAAATACTTACTCCACTCATCCAAGGGAGGTCTCTTGCCCATTTGTTCAGCTGAGAAACACCTTAAGAGTGCAAGGGAGAGTAAGAGCCTAGTGAGGTGATTGAGATTTGAGAATCCAAGATTAAGGCCTCATTAGTGCAAGGAGAGTAGCAAGTGTGCATCCACCCTTCTCATTAGTCTTGTTGTGGTCAAGTGAGAGTTTGTGCTTGTTACTCTTGGTGATCGCCATCACCTAGACGCCTCGGTGGTGATTACGAGTTTGGTGATCATCCGGCGGAGCTTGTGGATGACCCAACTCAAGTTATGAGCGGTTGTTTGCGATACACCGCGACGAAGTGTCGAAAAATCAGCCCGTAGAGAGCACTTGATCCTTGCGCGGATCAAGGAGGAGCTACACCCTTGCACGGGTGCTCCAACGAGGACTAGTGGGGAGTGACGACTCTCTAATACCTCAGGAAAAACTATCACCGCGTTTCTTTCCTCTCCTTACTTTAAGCATTTACATTTGAGCAATTCATTTCTTGTCATTACATTCCTAGAATTGCCATGCTAGAGTAGGATTGGAACCTAGGGTGCAAAACTTTTGTGCGGTAGAACAATAGAAACACATCCTAGGCAAAAGGGGTGAAGTGGACTAAGTGTAGAGTTTAATTATTGCAAAGAATTTTAGAATTAGCCCAATTCACCCCCCTCTTGGGCATCTTAATCCTTTCACGGAGAAAGGTTGCACGGGCGTCTGGGCGCTAGCACTACCGTTCAACAATACTATAGTAGGATCATAGAATGGACTTGTTCACTTGCTTTATGACCTGCCTTGCTATCTACTACTCTCTTCTGTATATATGTGGCAAAATGGTCCAACCGGTCCGGCATGGCCCTACCAACTCTTCATGTCGTGCCGTGCCAGCCCACGGGTTGTGCCTGTGGCCCAAGCACGGCCCTACAGGGGCAGGTTGTGCCGGGCTAGCCTGATGGCCTGCTCCGCCCGATGTGCTCGTGGAGGGCCATGCACTGTAGAAGGTTTTCCTTAAAAAGGGTGGGGAGGTAGGTTGCCACCGTTGTAGCCTCATGCTCACCAAGGTTGCGCCTTCGAGCCACCGCATGAACTCGCCTAAGCTGTGTCGCTGCGCGAGTTCGCCTAAACTGCACCGCCGCACGAAATGGCCGAGGTTGCACACGTCGCTGCCTCCATGCACGGTGACCGGGGCCACTCGCAGAGCGCCCCACGCGTATACGGGGGCTACACGTGCCCCTGCCTTCACGCGTACCTGCCGGGCCGCGTGGGTTGCCACCTTCGCGGGCGCCGCCCATGACCGCTCGCTCCGTCACCTCCACCCGCCACAGGGGGAAAGAAATGAGATGCTAGGGTTTCATTTTTAGAAGACACATTATATTGTGTAGTGGGATAACGGGGTAGCGTCGGGCCAATATTTCTTCGGGCGGGGCCAGGCCGGCACTACGTGCCCGGGGTGCGGCCCAGGCATGGCACAGGCCCGAGGGCCACTAGGCCATACCGTGCCTGGGATGGGCCAAAAGCCCATGGCCTGAGCTTTTGGCCAACTATACTCTTCTGGGTGTGTCCAGCCAGGCCCAGACCACGAGGGTTATATCCTTCGGCCTGCTAAAGCCCCCGGCAACCCGCCGCCACGGCGAGCTCGCGCCGCCGCCATGTTCGCCTCGCGCGCCCGCCACCTTCTCCTCAGCGTACAACCCGCCAACCACGGCACCCTCCTCCGCGGCTGGACCTCCTACGCATCCCCTCCCGGGTGCGGCGTCGGCGCGCAGCGCCACTACAACCACCACCAGCTGGAGGCTGAGTGGGAGGAGTCCAAGGCGGTGAAGGTGACGGTGTGGTGGGACTTCCAGAGGTGCCGCCTCCCTCGCGGCACCAGCCCGCGCCACCTCGCCCCCGCGTCACGGAGGCGCTGCGGCGCGCCGGCATCCGCGGGCCCGTCGAGATCACCGCCTTCGGCGACGTCGGCTGCATCCCGCCCGCCGAGCAGGAGGCGCTCGTTGACACCGGCGTCGCCTTGTCGCACGTCCCTTCCAGTTGCGTCCTCTGTCTCCTCCCGCCACTACTCACCACCATTTCCTCGCTTTATCTCATACTAGCAATTTCGCGGTAGACTCAGAATGTCACTGGAGCGAAAAACGATTGGTCGGTTTGTTACTTCTGGTTGATTAGATTATATGTAGCTAGCACTGCAACAAGTTTACAACATCTATGGTTCAAAAAAGTACTCGAATATCGGATACGGTCTTGGAATCATGAGGAATCTTTTCGGTCTTCAGTAGACTACTCTTAAACTTGTTGTAAGAAGTATTTGACCTTTGTGGAATGTGGATTGATATTCAATTCTGCTTCTCCAAGGTTTCTTCGTTTGAGTGTTGGGCCAATGTTTGTATAATATCTCAGGGGAGCAGAGTGCAGAGACTAGTAGTACATAAGTGTCAACATTGTAAGGAAGCAGTTTGCCTACAGCTAACCTTATTCAAGATGAAAAAATTAGGACGTGGATTTTCAAATATCACTATATTAGGATGTGAATATCATTAGTGACACATTACTTTGGCGGCTGTTGCCATTTCAAGTTAAAAATAGGACTCCATAAACATCAATTCAAGTCATCTGTTAAATTGTTTACCTTTACTGGAGATAGTTGATATGCTTGAAATTTTTAAATTTGTTGCCAACTTGGGATTTAAGAATTTTGTATTTTGATCTCAGTTATGCAGTGTTGTCTGATCATACTGACAATACGGTTTCGTTTTCTAGGTGGAAAGGATGGTTGTGACCGATCATTCATGTCTGATCTTATCTCTTGGATTGCGCAGAACCCTCCCCCATCTCATTTCTTCCTTCTATCCGGGGATAAAGACTTCGCAAACATCCTGCATTGTCTTAGGATGAGCAATTATAACGTATTGCTTTCTTGCCCTGATTCTGGCTCCAAGATGTTACGCAGTGCAGCAACATATCTGTGGCCATGGAAGGATCTAGCTAAAGGGGTGGATCTCAGACCCAAATATTTAAATCATCCGCCTGATGGTTTATCCTCTTCTTGGTATGGTCGATACGGTGAACCTGGTCATGACTTTCTCCTGAAACCAAAGAACCCCATGGCTTTACCAAGGAAAACCAAGGAGCCTAAGGTTCCCAATTCTGCTGTGGTTGGAATTAAGAGAGTGCTGTGCTTTTATCCTCAAGGGATCAGTGTTTCAGAACTAAGAAAAGAGCTTAAAAGGATTAATGTTTCTATTGATACAAGTGCATTTGGCTTCAAAATTTTCTCTGTCCTTCTCCTAGCCATGCCTGATGTTGTGAAATTTGTAGATCCTCTACCATGTGATAGAGGTGCAGGTGCTGCTGTGGTTGGGGTCTTCAAGACATCAGGGGATTCTGCTGGAAGTAGTATTCAAGAAAAATGCCACAAGGAAGTTGAAAGTGAGGAGCCATCACCATGTACAGAAAAGAGAGCACTTCAAGCGGAAGTTCCATCATCCCCATCGGATCAGTCATCTAGAGACCACAGGAAAGCTCCTGGATTTACTCAACGACCGGAGCCACCTTCCAAAAATGTGCAAGCTGATGTTACTCGGGCTGGGGATGTTCCATCACCACCATCTGATGCATCACCGCCTACAGACCCAAAGGAATGATGTGGCTGTTGATCCTGTTATGCAAACAGAACGACCCGTCAGCTCGATGGAAGCTGATAAGGTGAATGCTGCTGATGCTCCTTCCTCATCAGGGGGCAAGGTAGTATATCAGCAACAAAAGGGGGTTCTTTGAACGCTTGTCATCTTTCTGGAATGGCCAAAAGGATTAGGTTTGATGGCATCTCTTCTAAAGCATCAATGAATAAGTAGAGTATTTTGTAGAATAGTATGTTCAGAGGTGTAGTTAGAACAGCACAGGAACAAGATGAGTGTTCATCTGAATATGCTTAGTACAAGGAAGAACTGGTATGTGAAGAGCATTGTATTTCTTTTCTTTTTTTGGGGTGAGGAAAAGGATTGTATTCATTATTCACGTATGTTAAGCAAGGTTTAACGTACGCCAGAAAAAGAGGATTGTATTCGTTACTCAGCCTACGTTAAACCTTGTTTTCATAAGGATAGATGCTAATGCAGCGAGATGTTCTCATCTGATCAGAAATTTCTCTGGTGCCTGAAAATCCATCTATATTTCGTGGTTTCTATTACATATCTGCACAGATGTTCCGTAATGTGGAACAGTTTGGAGATGCATCTCTTTTTTTTTACACCAAAAGCCGAATTGGTAACTATTTTCATTGCACAATGCCCTCACCTATTAAGAAAGGTTCAAATTTGGATAGCAATCGAGTTATAAGCAGCTAAACCACTGGTCCGTTAATATCTAAGCTGGGCTGCATCTGCAAATTTCGCTGGTAATCTTTAGTACTCCGTACATGACAAATCAGAATCTTTGTCCTTCGCAAAAAAAAAAAAATCAGAATCTTTGTAGAATTCTGTGAGCTCCTTTTCTTTGTGGTTGACAGCAAACTTCCAATCAAGGATAACAAATGGCATTTCGAACAGGGCCCACTCGCTGGTTACTGGAAACCAACTGTGAACGACCGAGGCATAGAGCTGAACAAGCGAACTCTAGGAACAAAGAAGACTGGTTTTTCAAGAAGGCCGGCCTCCCTCTGGGCTCTGGCCGGCCTCTATGCATGAGTAACCTGATATGAAAGGATATGAAAGGATGGCTTTGTCCTCTGCCGTGATGCTAAAAGAAGAATGAAAATGGGACCAAGGTTGAGGCACGTTTCCCTGCCAATTGCCAAGGGTAAGGACCTTGCAGACATCTGCTATTGCAGAGATTAAATGGATGAAGCTACAAACGACAGATGATCTTTTGGCTAAGAGGATCTTGGAGTAATAAGGAGGAGGATTTCTTTTCAGCAGGAGCACTTGGTGTTTCGGCTGTGAGCTTAAATCATGTTTCAGTGAATTATCAGTAGTACTTTGTCACTTTGTCTTCTGTCAATGAGTGTTTAAACAATGCTGCATGTTTCTCTTCAAAAAAAAAAAAGGGTGGTGGTGGTGGTGAGAAAATCGGAATTTTGCCCTTATGGGAAGTGGGCTTCGCTGAAATGCCCTTATGAAACGAGTCCAACACACTATAATGCCATTTTGAGTTTTAAGTCTACTTTAAATTTTTTTCAGCCAAAATTTTAGCCTTCAGTGACCATTTTGCCCCTGAGCTCGTTGAATCGGTGGGGGAAAGCGAGCAGAGAGAGAAGTGCGGGCGGTGGTGCTGCTCGCCGCCGGGCACAGAGAGAGACGGTGGGAGACAGAGAGGGGCTTGAGCGGTGGAGCTGCTCACCACTGAGCAGAGCACCTGGGCGAGCGGCCGATCGCTGGACCTGGGTGCTTGGGCGAGTGCCCACCTGGACCGAGCGCTACTCTGGCGCTGGGAGCACACGGCTCCTGTTGCTCGGCCTCCCACGACGAACAAGCAGGAAGAAACGAAGAAATGAAAATCTAGAACAGGAAACCGGCGGCCACAAAATCGACGAAAAACTGGACCAAATCAAAACAAATCGCGACCAAACTTTTCACATGCCATCACAAGGGAGTTGGTGAGCATACTCTAAGAGATCATCGCCCAATTTCAACCCAAACTCCGGGAAAATTAGATCACGACCAAGAACACGAAAAACTCCCCAAAAACGAAATTCGTTCAATTTCTTCGTGCTCGACTCGATTCAATCAAATTCACTTAAGGGGTAGCATCAACTCATGTCATAGCACGAATCTGAGCAAAAAAGAACGAACTAAATCGGTCTCAAAATGAAGAATTGAAGCAAGAACGGGGGAGGGAAAAGCTGAGAAAAAAAACTGCAAAAATAAAATCATAGACACAATCCCTAGAACACGAATTGGTAGTGTCATTGCCAATTGGTGCCGTCCTTTCACAGATAAACACAGAGAAGACAAACGTTGGAACAACAGGCATTCTAGGCCAAACCCTAGAACACGAATCGAAGTCATCGAAGGGACGAATCAAAGAAGCAAAAGCAAAATCCCAAAATACAAGAGGAAACGGGAGCACTGAGACCGCTCAGGCAACCATGCAGCACCGCCGAGACCCACCGGCACTGGGCACGAGCACCATGAGCGGCCACAACAGGAGAGAAGGAGAGGGGGAAAGATGAGGACGACTGGCCTGCAAGGCCATGCCTCCTCCGCCTGCTCAAGCCCACACAAGGCCACTGCCCCAGTGGTAGATCGAGACGGAGGGAGAGGGAGAGGGGAGGGGGGCCACCCAAGGCGCCCACCTCGGGGAGAGAGTGAGAGGGAGAGAGGAAGGGGAGGCGGGAGCGAGAGAACGGGAGGGGGAGAGATGAGAGGGCAGGGGTCAACGAGCTCAGGGGCAAAATGGTCACTGAAGGCTAAAATTTTGGCTGAATTTTTTTTTTTAAGTAGACTTAAAACTCAAAATAGCATTATAGCGTGTTGGACTCATTTCCTAAGGGCATTTCAACAAAAACCCATAATTGAAGGCATTTGGGTGAAACCCATACCCCATAAGGGCAAAATTCTGATTTTCTAGGGGGTGGGGGTGGGGGTGGGGGGGGGCCGCTTTGAGGCATTGTGCCAACTGCCAATGGAGTACATTACTGCACAGTCAAAGCGTCAATAAACTTGTTGGACTGTCGGCCTCACTCAGTCACTCGAGTCGTACGACCGGCAACAAGTCGTCGTCGCTCATCGGTCGCCGGTGGCGGCGACCTGTACTTGTACTCCCCGGCTCTGTTTTCTCCGCCCGCGCCCGCGCCCCCGCCCCAGCCGAGAGCCAAGAGAGAGAGGGATCCGGAGCGGAGACGAAGACGATGCATCTGAGCGCGAACGAGGGGATCGAGGGCGTGCGGTTCGCGGTGACGGGCGGGCAGGGCTTCGTCGGCGCCGCACTCTGCCTCGAGCTGCTCCGCCGCGGCGCCCGCGAGGTCCGCTCTCTCGACCTCCGCGCCGTCTCCGCCTGGTCCCCGCAGCTCCTCGACGCTGGCGTCCGCCTCATCCAAGGTCAGCCCCCCTCCTCCGTTCGCCGTCTTCAGGTCAGATCGCTGCGGCGTCACCAGTCAGTCACCACGGTTTTCCTACTTTGCTGTCGCTGTGGAATAAAGGCTTGCTTCATGTGGTTTACTGAGTAGCGAGTTACAGAATTGGATTGCTCGCACAAGACGCTTTAGAGTGCGATTATTCCCTGCTACAGTACGTTGTAGTTCGGCTTCTGAATCAAAATGCAAATAAGCGTGTCCACTCCTTGGAGATTCAGATTACTTACAGTAGCACTACCAATACCAACCACCATGTCTTGCCGGCAATCACCCAGTTAGCTTCACATTGTCTGTGTTTGATGGAACCGATTACTCATCGTTTTGAGCAACTATTGTTTAGCAACCAATTTTTGTCTTGTGGAATGAATCATCGGTTACTTAATAAGGCCTTGTTTCGCAGGGGACGTGAGAAACAAGGATGAAGTGGGGAGGGCATTCCGCGGAGTGGACTGTGTTTTCCACCTTGCTTCTTACGGCATGTCAGGGAAGGAGATGGTGCAGGCCGGGAGATGCGATCAGGTCAATATAAGCGGGACCTGCAACGTGCTCGACGCTTGCCATGGAAATGGTGTCAGAAGGCTTGTTTATGTAAGCACTTACAATGTTGTGTTTGGAGGGAAGCCGATCACCAACGGGAATGAGGCGCTGCCTTATTTTCCTATCGAAGACCATGTCGATGCTTATGGGCGCAGCAAATCAGTTGCTGAACAGTTGGTACTGAAGAGTAATGGACGGCCATCAAAGTAAGTTTACCCTTTTCTAGGCTTCAGTGCCATGTACATAGTGGGGTAACTTTTACCTCCTTTTGAAAATAGATGCCCTGGAATACATGAGCCAAGGTTTTCAAACTAAACCAAGTGTACACATGTATATAGACTTGTTGCATGGAAATAGTTAATTTGTATCAATGCATTCACCATCAAAGTACTTCCATATCATTGTAATTTTTAATATTCTTTGCTGATGCACAATTGAAAAATATGGTAACTGTGCTTACTTTGTTGGAGACTGTGTTGACGTCCAAAACGACAATTAGAATTAAGTAGTTTAAGCTAATGCTACTCTTTGCGCAATTCCTTAAATTTCTAAAAATCTTAGTGTTTTCATGCATAATCGCTCCTTAAACAACAGGCAGTCATTTCATTTCATCTTGTAAGTCAAGAGTGGCATTTGATAATACGCAGCCTGTCTTACTGATTTAGTGAAACCTTGCAGAAGTGATAAAAGTACACGTCTTTATACATGTGCGATTCGCCCTGCTGCTATATATGGCCCAGGTGAAGAGCGTCACCTTCCAAGAATCCTGTCCCTTGCAAAGTTGGGATTAGCATTCTTCAAGATTGGGGGCCCAGATGTCAAGACAGATTGGGTCTATATCGATAATCTAGTTCTTGCTCTGATATTGGCAAGCATGGGACTTCTAGATGACATTCCTGACAGGAAGGGACCCCCTGTAGCAGCTGGTCAGGCGTATTTCATCTGCGATGGTAATTGTCGTTAACCTATGTGATGTTACTAAATGGCATTAATGGAGGTGCCATCTTTGTGCTTTACTTGTGTCTTTTCATACTGCAATTTTTTTGTTACTTGATTTGTAAAAATGCAAGCCTAATATTGGTAGAGAAGACATCCGAGCTTAATTGTCTTGATTTTTGCAATAATGTGATTGTTAGCGATACTACATAGTAACATAGATTGAAAAAATGTAATTATCTAGCAACTTCCTTTTCACTTGTTCTGAACACTAAAGGTTTAAATTTTAACACTATACACAACTCACTTTTTCCATAATGAGGTAACCCAGGATTCCATTACTTGAATAACAGAATTGCTTGCAATACAAGTACACAATGTTCTACGACTTATGTTTTCACAAGTGAATAACTGAATACTGAACCTTTGAACAAGCCTACTATTTGGACTTTTTCCTCCTTGAGGGAAGTATCCCATGAAAACTTGTCATCTTGAAATGTCTGATATAGAGCACGGTGATTATATATGCAATATATATTTCATTGCCTTATTGAGCTATGACTGTTTCACAGGATCACCATGCAATACTTTTGAATTTATCATCAGCCCCCTATTTCAAAGTTTGGGTTATGCTGCTCCTCGAGTGACGATGGATACCTCTGTCGCCCTTGCCATTTCAAGAATATTTTTATTCATATCTACTTTGTTCTATCCATGGCTTGATAGTAAATGGATCCCGCAGCCTCTAATTCTTCCTGCTGAAGTGTATAAGGTGAGCCTCTTTGTCATGTTCAATTTGGTCTTTTTTGTGTTGCCAGTTTACCTAACCCAGTATAGTTAAATATATGCAATGGTAAGATGGAAGTGCAATAATGCCATGTAAATAGTACATCTGATTTTGCTTCCTGATTGTGACAGGTTGGTGTTACACACTACTTTTCGTTCCTGAAAGCTAGAGAAGAACTTGGTTATGTACCTATGGTGAGCCCCCGGGAAGGCTTGGCTGCAACTATCTCATATTGGCAGGAGCGGAAGAGAAGGGAACTAGATGGCCCAACCATATTTACTTGGCTGGCTGTAATAATTGGGACGCTGGCTGTATTTTCTTCTGCTTATCTTCCACCAGTTGGCCCGTTGAAATGGGTGCTTGACATCCATTTGTTTGTTTTTCGATCAATGTTGGTGATCCGGCTGGTCTTTGTGACAGCAGTTGCAGCGCATCTTGGTGAAGCTGTGTATGCCTGGTTCTTGGCCAAAAAGGTTGATCCAAGGAATGCTACAGGATGGTTTTGGCAAACCTTTGTTCTAGGGGGGTTCTCTCTCCGGTATCTTCTCAAGAGAGCCAGAGGGTAAATTTGTGTTGCTTGATTCCAAGGTCACCCTCGTTCGAACTTAAGATGGCTGCATCACCAATCACTCTGCCACTATGGTTTTGCTTCACTATTGCTTTGGCTGTGCTCCTCGAATGCTCAAACTAGTTGCCGTCGTATGCTGCCTAGCTCAAGTCCTAAGGCCATGATGCTATCCTGACACGCTAAAGGAGCCAGAAAAGGGTCAGACAAGACTCTTAAGAGGGTTGGATGTATCGCGGGATTTGATTCATTACTACGAGTACTTCATGAGAACGGAAAGATAATGCTGTGAGAATGTGAGATGTTCTTGTCTGAACATCGCATTGCCCGCTGAAGCTAAGCCTACAGTTTTGTGGTTCTGTGTTGCATAGATGTTCGTAATGAGGAACAGTTCGGAGATGCAGTTTTTTTTTAACCCAGAGCAAGAGCCATAATGTATTATTAAGTAGCAGGATTACAATTTGGGGTTGCAGTTTGTCAATCTCCCCATCGCATGCATCTTGTAATTGAAGCTAATCCTTTCTGCTACTGGAGCTAAATAGCAATTTTCGTTGCACGACGCATTCCCCTACAGAACAAGGTCTTAATTTGGGCAGAAACCAAGTTTTATCCAAGCTGAGCTGAGCTACATCTCCATATATGTTCAGCATTCAAAACTAATAATAACAACATAAGTGTAAGCTATAATTGGCCCCTCGGTGTATGACAAATCTTCCGTCTACACCACCCGTATCATCTCTAAAACTAAAGCACATAAGTCTACTGGAGAAAGATTGGATAGAACATCAAGTGCGTTGGGATGACTTCTGATGTACCAGCAAACCTTTCATTCAAAGGCATCTTCTCTCGAACAGCTTCAACCTTAAGCATTATGCCTCCAAATTGTTCCGCTGTCATCCGTATCGAACGATTATTCTCCTCTAAGCTCATATCAACATGCCAGGTTAGTCTTAGATTTTGCTTTCCTTCCTCCCATAACGGAGCACTAAAAGACCACCTCATTTTCACATCTTCGCCACTGAGGAAATCCATGCCCAGCTGAGCTGGGTGCCTGTTTCCTGCAGTATGAGCACTATTTGACTTCCAGTTTAATTCATGAGTTCACTGAAGTCCAGATATTGAACTCATCCATTCTTAGAGTAAATGAACTCGAACTTTATTTTCCACCTCCACCATATGCCTACATTTTTATGATGAGGCAAGAGATGAACAATCAAATCCAACTATAAGGCCATGCAGATTTGAAGAATATAATTACAACGGTGGCATACCTTTGCAATCTCTGATGTATTAACTGTACTGTCAGTAGTCCTCAAGAAAACCTTTAGGACACCCCGTTGCATGAAGACCACTGCTCCAATTGGCCTTTGATGAAAAGGGAAACATTCTTCAATAAATTACCAAAGCAACACAAAATGGGCATGGATGTGTTCCGTTAAACCTGAATAGAGCTCAGACCTTAATCCAGCAGCAGCACTCCTCTGACTTAGCTCCAAACCAATTTCATGGCTCAATTCTCTGTGTCCATCTGCTCTGATTGCCTTATAGTATGAAAAAAGAAAAGAAAAACATTTACTATAGCAAATGAGACATTTTTAAAGCTAATTGTATAATATTTTCCCAGAAATAACATTATATAGGCCATATCGAGCCAGTCTCTAGAGCTGGTCATACTCAAGCATCCAGCCAAGTTCAAGGTCAGGTACACAACAATCCAAGAACACATGTGGTTAAATATAAGCATAAAACCATTCCGCCAATTTGCATCAAAAGTCCAGTTCAAAAAACTGGGCAAGCATGAGCTACTACAACAGAACATCTTATACTGTGCTCTTGGAACGTGGAAGAAGGTATCGATCAATTAAAGATGATAACATAAGGCTAAGCAGAAGCATTCAAATTTGCACAAAACATGCCTATCTCCACTAGCTAGTAGAATATAGTATCACTAAAGCAAGAGCACTCATGGATGCAAGAAGTACCTGCCTTTGCTAAAGCAATGCAGTTTTGCCTTCAGTAATCAAAAGAGCTGTGCTGCGTACGTTATGCAGCATGAAGCTATCGAAGGTAGGCAAACAAAGGTGACGAAATTAGTACAAAATGCAAGAGCGTGTTTCATACCAAGCATTCACCATACGACCCTCTTCCAAGCTGAATCCTGAAAGGCTTCTGTATGAACTCCCCTGCAGCCTGCAGGCGGTCATGAGCATGCGATTTCTCCCTAGCAAGCAAATTGCCAACATCAAGTTGTAGTAGCTGCGTGGGGTACCAATACAACAATGCAATCATTGACCATGTCATGGCAAAAGATGAGGGTCTTACAAACAACAAGCATGATGGCAGAAGGTAGTGCTACACCTGTCCAAAAACATGAGGATTTGTGACACAGTTCAACTTTGCGCGTTCATCCCTAAGTGCTATCTGAAATTCCTTGGTGTTAGGCAGCTGATACCATCGCAAGTCTGCATCCTCTATGTATTCAAGAACATTTGAAACTCCCTCCGCATCTTCTTGGTCCAACAAGTTTTCACACGTTCTCTGTGTGGAAATAGAACATCCTCATATTTCTTCTAATCATACAAGATAATGAACATAAATGAAGTGTTTTCTCTACTCACAGAATCAGATTTTGTTCCTGCTAGCTCCTTGGAGAAATAATCAAATACAGATCGGGCACTGCCTTTTGACATGTCAATATGAAGCTCCACATTGCTTGGGCACTGACCCAACTTGGGGATTCTTGCTAGCGTACTTTGCCGGTGATCAAATGCTATCACACTGCATCAGTCAGCATGTCGTGAGGTTATACCCCTCTACCATATTGCTCACTTAAACAAGATCTGACAAAATAGTATTTCTTGCAATGAAACAAATACATCAGCCAAAAAGTAAGGGATGTGTAACCATTGGCCAATTACACTATGTACATGAATATGGGCCATATGGAGCCATTAGCAGCTTCAAGTATTGCAAGACTGTAAACAGCTTACTTCACAAACTGGTATCATCACTATGCAAAGTTTGTAAGCTAACAGTCCATATGTTCCTTTCTTTTGATTCTTCCATACAAAAGCAACTTCTTTTTTTGAAGATTGTCAGCAGCAGTAACAACAACAACAAAAGCCTTTTAGTCCCAAGCAAGTTGGGGTAGGCTACGTCAGCAGCAGTAAACTTTAACTAATTAATTAGCAATATTCCAAATCATCTTTTGAACATTGTCGGCAGTAATAATTAACTAATTATCAGTGTTCCATCGACTACTCGATTCACTAAGCCGCACAATGAAAAGCATCATCCAGAATTCCAGTGACCCATTTTTACTGCAACTCATTCTGTTTAGAAACGCACTTGGGGACGAATCGGGCGAGCTCGAAAGCAAACTTGTTGGGCCCAATGAAGTCCAAGAGATAGCACGTCTGGAACCCCGCATCCTTGAAGTCTTCGGCTCTAATCGATCAGTTCATTTTCAATAACACAAGCCGTCATGGGAGAAACAATCGCACACGCGGATTGCAACAATTGGCTAGGAGCCAGTGAAGTGCGAAACGGCGAGCCACGAACGGGAACCAACCTGAAGGGCACGACGGAGGAGAAGGGGAGGACGAGGAGGCGGCGGAGGACGCGTTGGTGGAAGAGGCGGGCGGCGAGCGCGGCGTAGGCGCCAGCGAAGGTGGGGTAGTTGTAGAGCGCGAGGCTGGCGGGGCCCCGCCTGGTCGTCGTCCGTGTCCGCGTCGGAGGGGGGTGAGGCGGTCTTCGATGGGGCTGAGTGCGAGTGCGAGCGGATGGCCTCGAGGGCGGCTTCCGAGCGGAAGGCTCGCCGGAGCACGGCCGGCGGCGGCGAGGGGGCCGCGGGGAGGCGCGGTCGGCGGCGGAGCATTGGTGGCTCGGTTTCGGCCCGGCAGTTGACACGGGTCGGGTCGGGGTCTGAGTTTGTTAAGTGCAAAATAAGTGAGCCCAACTACTCCGGCAGTATTTTTTAATGAATAAATATTATTTTTTTTATAATCAATCAGCATAAACATCGACATAAGTTAAATTTTAATAAAATAAACAGGGCTATAGACAAGAACACATTGCTGCCAAGCCCGCCAGTTATCCAGCATTTTTCGTTACATGATGATAGAGAGCACCAAATTTTAGTGCCTGTTTCAACCGCATTGAATTTCACAAGAATTGAGCAGCAATTTCACATAAATCAGTTTTTTTTTTCATTCCAAACAAGGCATTGGTTCCCGCATCTGCTCAAACTAGGTAGATGGGAGTTGTGGCAGCACTTTAGCCTAGCATCAGACTTACAAAATTAGACTTACAAAATTAGCCCCTCAGTCAGGCTTCCGAGGAACGAGATTTCCTTCCATTTTCTCATAGGATGCTCGACGATTCACCATCCAAATGGCTTTAACACTTAGTGGATGGATAAGGTAACATTTGCATCTGATGAACCTGACACTGGGCCTATATGGCTGGGACGACACAGGCTAAGTTTTGCACCCGTCATCTCGTCTAAAAGCGGTTGTTTTGCACCCGCCACCTGAGGAGCCACTTTTTTCAGCTCCGATCACTTTCTTCTCTACTATTCACCAGGAAAATAGATTCTCCTTCTAAAGTATTTGGTATGGCTTCTCCGCATAAGCTACTGTCAGAGCTTGAGCAGTGCCAAACATGATCAAATTCAGAGATCAGCAAGCTGCCGCACGTGAAGGGAAGGTCGACCGCCAAGCCTGAAGGATCCGAGCAGGGGACGAGAAAAATGATGCTGCCGCCGGCGAGGATTAGGCGTCTCCACCGCTCACCTGGCCAAAATAGATCCACCATTGCTAGCTGAATATTTTTCCCTCCAGTTCTGAACTGTTGTCGCCCATAACCCAAAATGTGATATAAATTGCAACTTTCCTTAAACAATAGCTTCGCAATGTTTTGATTTACTAGAGAGATGTGTCTGTTTGTTGTAATGGAACATACCGCTTGTTGCGCGGTTAGTCAACTAGATGATTTATTGTTCTGATATTTATTGAACAATGTTTTAATTCATCTTGAAACCATACTCTGTAAAGTGTATGAACATGCGCTGCTCTAACTTATATATGTGCACGAGAGATTTGTCCAATGTATCAATCATTAGCATAGCCAGAACTATTTGCTACAACCCGTATTCGTGTGAATCACAGTATGAGAATCTTTGGCTCTACATGAAAAATACTGCTAGTATAGCCGTATATGAATCCACACCACCAACACCGCCAACTTTCTCAATTCCATATCACGTATGAACATGTAGAGAAATAGTGGAGAAGGAATTGAAAAACTTGAATGCAAAATAAGTCTGAAGTAGATGTAACATTTAGAATATACACTTGCAACATATGTGTATCAAACATATACAATATCCAGATAAAACACTTGCAACATGAAAACAGTCACTGCAACATAAGAATGAAACAATTGAAACATTTAGAACAAACTCTTGCAACATATGTGTAAAACATATGCAATATCTAGATAAAAACGCTTGCAACATACGTCTGAAATAGATGAAACACTTTGAACAAATGCTTAAAACATGCATCTGAAACACTTGCAGCACACTTTACAGCATATGCAACATTCCGATCTACTTTTGCAACATCCATATGAAACACTTCCAACATACCTCTAAAACTATCTTCAACACTTAAAACATACGTTTGCAACTAGCGCTTTCAGTGCAACATCTCTTTACTGCTTGGGAATGGAGGCTTGTTGGCGTGTGGAGTTCTATGGTGTAGTGCTCGCCGGTGGCGCGGAGCTCGCTGCTTTGGTGGAGAAGGCCGCGGCAGGTCCCGTGGAGAATGCTACGATGGGTCCGCGTGCTGGAGAAGGCCGCGGTGGAGAGGGAGGAAGACAGACTGCCGTGCTCTTGCGCAGAGGAGATGTCGGCCGGCGGAGCGGAGGCGCAATGGAGAGGGAGGTGCGGTGTAGAGGGAAAGCGTGGTGGAGAGCGCCGTCGCCGAGGCAGCGTGACGGAGCACGGCGCTGTGGTGAGATGAGTTTTTCCTTCTTCTTTTCAGAACGGTTGGGGACGAGCGGATGAGGAGATAAGATAGAGGTCATTGGGCTACGTCGTGGCCCACCATTACAATCGTCTGGTTGGACGGATGCCTATACCCAGCGTTACCGAATTAAAAAGTCACAATGGTATTCTTTTCCATCAGCAACTATCAAAACAAAACATTTACATATTCAAATGTCAGATGCTACAAATTGATTTCTTGGTTCAAATGCACACCTCTGTAAAAAAAAAGGTACAGTAAAAAAGTTCACCGCTGAACTTTTACACACCCGGGCCCATGTACACACTGCTCGACTGTACGGCCGGGTGCCACACCACAAATATACTACCACGAACGTTACCGCAGTAGTAACTGCATGCGCGCCATCCACCTAGCTGCTGCCGGCGCGCTGCCGCCTCTTCCACACGACGAGCGCCGCGAGCACGAGCAGCATGGCCGCCCCGGCAGTGCCGGCAACCACGAACGCTGGCACACGGGCAGATCGCCACCGCCTCCTCCTCCCTCTCGGGCTGTGGTGTCGACTCCGGGGCCCTCTCGACCGGTATCCGGCGTCCCCCGGCTCGCCATCGCTCTCGCTGCCGCTCGGCGGCTCCTCCTCCGAACCGGACCCGGCCACCTCGTAGTGAGCGTGGACGCCGTCCCCGGAATCGGCCTCGTCGTAGACGTGGACCGGCTCCTCCACCGGCAGCGTGAGGTGGCTGTGCTCCGACGACGCCGTGGACTCGGCGCCGTCGTCGTCGTCGTCGTCATCGTCATCGGCCGCGACGTGGAGGTGGGTGCCCACCGCCACCGCCACCGCCACCTCACCATGCTGCCGCGCCGGCCTCCGCCTCCACGGGCACGGCAACCTCATGGTGACGAACTGATGATTGCTCCAATATGCAGCCTGCAATCTTCTAGAGTAATCGTAGGCTGAAGCGCGCGGCGGCACATACACCTGTGGAGACACGGAAGAATGGCACTAGAGACGATTAGAGAGGCAGCAGAGAGCAGGGGTGGCGGCCTGGATGCATATGTTTGCAGCAAAAGCAAGGTGCCTTGCTTTGTCGCAGAGGCATGCAGATGCCGTCTCCATCTGGCACCTGAGATATGCAACACAAGTCAAGGACTAGCTGGTATATATAGGGATGGCAATAGGTACTACATACCCAAGTATCCATGGGTTTTATGACTGATAAAGAGACGAGTAGTATGGACAAATTTACATACTCACAGATATTGTTATTAATTGGATGAAATTCTCTCCCGTCAAGTAGACGGGTATAAGTGTGGTTATATACTACTCATACCTGTCTACCCGTGTAGGTAATAAATACCCACACTAGATAATGAGCCACCATATTAGAAGGTTAATTCTGTTATGTACTTGATGTTGATTGTTTAGGGCTTATTTGACAGGGCACGGCTCCTCCAAAAATAGCTCTAGATTTTTTTTTTTGACAAAACGGCTCCTTCTGGTTTCAGGAATGGATGAAAGATATCAATTGTCCAAACTACCCTTATACATGAGAAATTAAAATTAAAACACAACTAATTGATACATTGATTATCTATAACAATGCCATGAATAAAGTAAACTATATTTAAAATATTTTTAACAAAAAAGGGCTAAATCGAACATCGTATGGGCCAAGGCCCAAAATGGTCTGCACCACTCTACCCATAAGAAGCCACATGCTCTTCTCAAAAAAAAGAAAAAACTCAAAACTAGAAAGTTGTAGATCTCATCGAGATCTATAATTTTCATATAAAAATTATTTTCATTTAATTCCAAAAAAAATATGCTAAGATATATTAATCATATCAAATCATATTTTTTTTGTCATAGGAAAAAATTTTTATCCACTTTACCTCCCCCTACAACTTCGCATTTGAAAGTTAAACCGGCCTCCAAGGAACTTGAGGGCATTTCTCTCACACCTGTGGTTTTTTTTTTTCTTTTATGTTTATTTTGGCTGAATTTTTGAAAATCATAGTAAATCATAAAAAAAATCCACTTTGATAAAATGGAAATTTAATTGTGTTGAACTTTTCATCTCATGAGTAGATCTACACAATTGAACACATGATATGTTATGCTTGCTATAATCATAGTTTGCCTCTCCAACTTTCGCAAAAGTTAAACCGGCCTCCAAGGCTGTTTCTCTCGGTGGTTTTCTTTTTTTTTTTATGTTTATTTTGGCTGAATTTTTAAAAAATCATAGTAAATCATAAAAAATAATAAAATAGAAATTTAATTGTGTTGAACTTTATATGAGTAGATCTACACAGTGAACACATGATATGTTATGCTTTCGTACACAGTTTTTGCTGTAATTTTAGATATATGTTTTCCGTAATTAATTTATAGTTACAGTTTCTCTGGTCCAATTGTAGAGAATTTTTTTTGGTGGAATAATCATTGCACGCTTGAGGTGTAGCAAAAAATTCATACTCATTGGATCATACATAACTGATAGATTTATAGATTTATCTAGATAAAACTATAACTCGGTGTTATAGATTTATCTAGATAAAACAATAACTTGGTCATACATGATCTAATGATCATGATTTTTTTGCTACATTTGAGACATTTAATGATTATCCCACCATAAATTTTTTACCATAATCAGACTATAGAAACTATAACAACGGATTAATTACAGAAAAGCATAGATCTAAAGCTATAATAAAACTTTATACTAAAGCATACCATATCATATATTTACTGTGTAGATCTACTCATGTGGAGTCCAACAAAAATTTTATGCTTATTAATTAGATCATGTATGACTGAGTTATAGATTTAATTTTCTTTTAAAACTATTTAATAAACATAAACCTAGATAAATTTATAAATCAATCATACATAATCAAACGAGCATGAAATTTTTACTATAGCTCAAACATGCAATGATTAGTCCACCATAAAAATTTAACCATAATTGGACCTGAGATACTGCACCTATGAATTTACTACAGAAAAAGCATGGATCTAAAGTTATAGCAAAAACTTTATACTAAAGCATACTAGATCTACTCATGTGAAGTCCAACACAATTATATAATTTAATATGTTTTTCAAAGATTCAACCAAAATAAACATAAAAGGAAAAAAGAAAAACCATCAAGAGAAACAGCCTTGTAAGTCAAGTGACCGGTTTTGTGAGATGAGGGAAGAACTATTTCTGGTTTTAGACTTGAGGGAGGAAAAGCACACTTTTGCGAAAGTTGGGGGACCGAAAGTGGACTTTTTCCTTTGTCATATGCTGCGATGATCCAAATGTTCCCGAAGAGAGTGGGCTAGGCTGGGCTCATCTTATGTGAGGATTGATTGCATAGATGTCTATTGTTCATATGAGCTGAATTATAAAGCTAAAATAAGCTGCACTATATAACATAGATTATATAAACTAGGGGTTAAACAAATAGGTAGGTCCATAGTAAAATATGCTTATGCTAATAAATAAACATCAAGCATGATACTCACGTGTGTCTTTGTGTGTGTGTTTTAACTTTTACCTCGTGCGCACATCTTGTCTCAAGGATGACTCTTGATATTTGGCTGTGCGTTAACAAAATTTATGTGCTGTTCTAATGAAAATGATATAATGTTTGCAATTTGACTAGGCCTGTTCGCTTAAACTTATCACCGGCTTATCAGCTAGAATCTATAGTATTTTTCTCTCACAACAAATCAGCTTCAGCCAGCTTATTAGCCAGCTTTAATACCATCCGAACAGGCATAATTTACAAAGAAACTGCAATAGATCTATCAAAATTCGGCATGGCTAGCGTCCGGATGTCCGGACACCCAAGCAGCCCGCCTTCGTTCGCCATGCTCTGACTTGCACGTGCACCCCGCCCTCGACGCTACGCCCACCGCTCGGATGGACGGGCACGCAGCCCGCCCACACCTCACACGTGCATGGTGCACCCTGCCTCCCGCACCCCACTCCTTCCCCCTAACCCCCTCCTCTCTCTCCATATGGGAAAGACCCGAGAACCGGTCCCCAGTTCTGCCGCGCCCCATCCCCCGGCACCCGGGTTGTCCGCCCATCACTCATTGTGCCCCCGTGAAACACTTGCAACATGAAACACTTGGATGCAACATTCGTCAGACATAGATGAAACATTTGAAACATATTATTGCAACATATATGTAAAACATATGCAACATCCAGGTAAAACACTTACAACATGTGTGTGAAACATATGCAAAATCTAGATAAAACACTTGTAACATGTGTGTCGGGTTCATAAACCCGGGTCCCTCATGGACCTACTTCCCAGCAAAAGCTCGGCCAACAACGACGTTGCGAATGATGCACAGCTCCTGGGCCGGCCAAAATACCTAACAACAGGCCAAAAGGGCGATCCGATCTCCGACCGGAAGACCTGGCCGAGGAAGAACGGCGCCCGCTTCGACTCCGCCCGCCTCTCTGACCGGGAAGGCCTCGCTTCGACTCTGGCCACCTCTCTGACCGGAAGGCCTGGCCGAGGAGGAACGACGCTCGCTTCCAACTCTGGCCCACCTCTCCGATCGGACGGCCTGGCCAAGGAGGAACGACACTTGCTTCTGACTCTGCCCCGCTTCTCCGACCGAAGGCCTAGCCAAACGCAGCTTCCGACTCTAACTCGTGTCTCCCACCGGGGATACACCGAACCTCTACTTACAGCTCTGCTCCAACTGGTGCAGTCGGAGCCGACTGGGACCAACCGACCGGGGACGCCCGCTCGGTGAGGACCCAGGAAACAGGCGGAGCAAGCAAGGCAGCGCGCTCAAGTCAAACGCAATACCGAGGACCGTACCCTATGCATCTGCAGGACAGTACCGACAGGGAATGTCAGAAGGGTGCCCTGCAACCTTCCAGGCATGTCAGAACCCAAGCAGTGTTGTGGGCGCCGATGTTTTGCCCTATAGTGTTATGGGCGCCATCAATTACCATACTAGGCGAACATGGTAAAACCCCCCACATACCTCTGGGCATCAATAGTGTTGTGGGCGCTGTCATTTGCCATACATGGTGAATGCGGTAAACCTCCCACATCAACAGTGTTGTGGGCGCCTACAATCATCTTATACCCGATGGCGTGGGCAACAAGACTTACTAGCATACGAACACTCTCCCTCTCTCACTTGTAAGGTCGTCCCCTTCATCGATAAAGGGGACGCGCTCTCTCCCAGTAGGAGGGAGATCGATTTGAGACTCACTCCCTGCTAGCTTTAGACACTTTAAAGCTACACAGAGCACACGCTCGAACACTCAGCGCACGTAGGAGCTCCCGTCACTCTTGGCCCTTTAGACCAGAGTCCGACCACGCCCCCTCACTTCGACCGGGGGGAGTCAACCCAGTCGACTCCCGATCAGCCCACGAATCGCGTGACCTCTGGCTCAGGGCGCGTTGACCAGAGCAGCTGGCGGGGCATCCCCCCGTTGTGGGTCATGCGCCGGCACCAGCCCCGATGATGCACGGGTACAAGCCCACTCCTCTAACCGCCTGGCCTGCCCCACCATGCCCGGAGTAGGTGGGGACAAGGCCGGTGACGCCCCCGAATGGCGCGGCGACTGCGTCCGCTTCGCCTCCCTCCCGCCGATGGTGTCCGAGCTCGCGGCGTGCTTCCTTGGCATAGGAACATTGCCGCGCCTCCCCACCTCGTGCCCACCGCCGGCAGACGTGGCCGTTGGCTCGTGATGCACCGCCGAAGTCGCGACCTCCCGGCCTCCCTCCTCCTCGGAGGAGATCACGTCGTCACCCACCTCTGAGGGGTCCTCCGACTCGAGCTCCGCCTCGACATCGCTCCTGCTCTCCCTGGCCCGCACGTGCCGGGCAATATCCTGCTCCTTCTTGTGTCTCCTCCAAGCCTTC